GCACATCAAGATGAGGCAGGACCAAGTTCCTCCCCCTGTATCAAGGTTGGGCAAGGCAACCCAGCTTAGGGATTGGGTTCCCAAAAGCCAGTTCAAGAGCCATGGACAGATCCAGATCCCACTGCTAGGAGCCTTACAAACAGACCAAGCTACACAACCTTCACACCTCATTTTGTCTTCCACCTGGGTGTTGGAAGCAAACTCAGCCAGTGAGGGCTGATGCAAATCAGGCACCTTGCCTTCCTCCCAAGACCTTAGGTTGCTATGATTACCAACCACTGGGAAAGGAAGCGGAACCACTCAGAAGGTGCCAACAGCATTGCTGCGTTTTTCTATAATTATTATTAACTATAAACTTTTAGTTACACTTAAGAAATATAGTTAGTGCATGAAAACTTCTTAAACTCTGTAGTGATTTAAAGGCCCATTCTTAATTCTCCTGATATCTGCTGGGGAGCTTCACAGCCACACCCTCTGAGATGGAAGAGGCCCCCCTTACCTGCGTTTGTGATTCTGTGAAAAGCAAGCTTGATACTATCGTTACTGCCCATGGAATCCCTAACTTCTCTCTGTGTGTATAAATACTGAAGCCTTGTTCCTGTGGAATCCCTAACTTCTCTGTGTATAAGTACTGAAGCCTTGTTCCTGTGGAATCCCTAACTTCTCTGTCTCTGTATAGATACTGAAGCCTTGTCGGGAACAGCCCTTTTTTCTTCCTTGCCCGAGGAATAAAGAAACATGCAGCGGAAACGTGAGTCAGTTTGTTCTACTTCTCAGATTCCTTCTCCCAGCTGGTTTTCGCTTGCCATAAAATAGACATCCTGTTCTGGACCCTGAGGTGGGGCTGGGGTTGGTACTCAGTAGCTCCCGTTAGGTCTCAGTGAGTTCGAGGCCAGCCTGGTCTACAGAACAAGTTCCAAGAGAGCTAGGGCTTTTACACAGAGAAAGTCTGCCTGAAGATCAGAGTGCAGAGCTAGCTGCACTAGTTAGCCATAGAGGCCAGGCAGTGGTGGGCACACACCTTTAATCCCAGCACTTGTGAGGCAGAGGCAGACAGATATCTGCCAGGCCACCCTGGGCGACAGAGATTTATCCAGTCTAAAAGAGAAACAGAGCCAGGTAGTGGTGGCTCACACCTTTAATACTAGTTCTTAAGAGTCACAGGCCTTTAATCCCTGCACTAGGGAGGTGGAGGCAGGAAGACAGGAGCTCAGAGCATTCAGTCTGAGGATCCATGAAGACACCCACTTTGATCTGAAGGTCTCTCTAGTGGCTGGCTCCTTTGCTTCTCTGATCTTTCAGAATTTACACCTATATCAGACTCAGGCTTTTTATTATTAAGACCAATTATTGTGCCGAGCGGTGGTGGCACACGCCTTTAATCCCAGGACTCGGGAGGCAGAGGCAGGCGGATCTCTGTGAGTTTGAGGCCAGCCTGGTCTACAAGAGCTAGTTCCAGGACAGGCTCTAAAGCTACAGAGAAACCCTGTCTTGAAAACAAACAAACAAAAGACCACTTACTAGCCTTCCTTTTGTGGTTTATAAGTTTCGGAAAGGCAGAATTATCACCCCACAAGAGGTCCATGCTTTCATCCATGGATTATATGAATATGCTTGGTTCTGCACAAAGGGGAATTAAAGAAGTAGATGGTAAAAGGTTACTAGATGTCTTAGGGGTCCTACTGCTATGATAAAACACTATGACCACAAGCAACTTGAGGAGGAAAGGGTTTATTTTAGCTTTCAACTCTCAGGTCACAGTCCATCACTGAGGGAAGTTAGGGCAGGAGCTCAAGACAACTGAAGCAGAGCCATGAAGAAATTCTGCTTATTGGCTTGTTCAGTCTGTTTTCTATAACTAAGGCCTACCAACTCCCCCCCCCCACTTTCATCCTATGACATAGCATCACACCCCCCTTCCATCCTATGGGATGGATCCATCTCAATCATTAATCAAATGAATGCACTAGCCTACAGGCAAATCTTACACAGGGATTTCTCAATTGAGTCCCTCTTCTCAAATGACTTTAGCTATGCTGACACAAAACCAACCAAGGTACCAGGTCACTGCCCCTTCCCCCAAGGTTTCTCTGTTTAACAGTCCTGGCTGTCCTGGAACTCGCTCTGTAGTCCAGGCTGGCCACCCAGGTCACTGTCTTTTAAAGTAGAGGTCTTTGGCTTTATTCAGATGGGCCCAAGATACTCATTAACAAGAGTCTTTAAAAGTGGGTAAGGGAGCAGGACAGTTAAGTTCATGCCTTTAATCCTAGCACTCAGGAGGCAAAAGCAGGCAGGCAGATTTCTGTGAGTTCAAGGCCAGCCTGGTCCACAGACCAACTTGCAGGACAGTTAGGGCTACACGGAGAAATCCTATCTCAAAACACAAAAGCCAAAACAACAAGAAAAAGTAGGTAAGAGAGGCAGGAAAGTGGGCTTCAAAGATGAAGGGTCCAAACCAAGTCCCTCTGGAAGCCATGGGAGGCAGAAAATGGTTCCCCTCTGCTTCCTCTAAAAGGCACCAATCCTGTAACTCGGGCTTCAGCTCATTGAACTTGGGTTGGGCTTCATTTCTGGCCTTCAGAGGAAGGAGTAAGAAAATAAACTCCTATGTTTGCTCAGGGCTTTGTTATGTAGCCCAAATTGCCACTTATCTCTCAATCTTGCTTCCTCTGTCTCCTACAGGTGTGTGACGCACCTGGCCTAAAAGTTGAATTTTTAAAGCACTAATTTGAGGTGGGTTTTTGTTGTTGATGTTTTGTTTGTTTTTCAAGACAGTGGTTTCTTTGGGTAGCCCTGGCTATCCTGGAACTCTGTAGTCCAGCCTGGCCTCCAACTCAAATCAAAGATCTTCTGCCTTCTGCACCACCACCTGGCTTGGTAATACATATTCTTGAAACAGTAGTAATAAGAAGTATTTTAAGAAAGATATCTCAAAATCGTGCAGAACTTGTTTTATCTCAGACTTTCATTAATTTTCAAAACTATTCAGTGGTTTTGTCTGCCACAAAGTAATGGTTTTTTTTCCATTTCCTATTATATTTATTAATCAAAACTCCACCGTAGGGGGAACTCCTGTTTACTTATGAAGCATTTGAACTGACACAGCCTCCTGTTCTGTGGGCATAACGCAACAGGAGCCGGTGCTCACATCTCTGACAGGTGGGGAATTTTCAAACCAGTCTATCCAACCCCCCCCCCCCCCAGGCCTATCTGTTTTGGGAGATTTCCTTAATTGCTGGGAACTCATTTAACACTGGCTTAGATCACTGAGGCTTCTGTAACCTAAACAAACATACAGTAGGAGACTTACAAATGATCAATTTGTCACAGTTCTGGAGCCTGGCAGCCCAAGAATAAGGCCAGGCTTATTACACGAAGAGGACTGCTCTCTGTCTCAGACACCTCACCTATCACCTCCTCAAACTCCTTTCTACTACACATTTTCTGAGGGAGTTAGGATTAGACGTGTAAACGGGGTGGGTCAGGGCCACGTCAATGCCAGCTGGTAACACCATCCACAGACAGGGGGGGCTCTGCTCTGGTGACCTTTGCCCACAGCAAGACTACTCTCAGGCTTGGTGATAGGAATCAGTGAGTCTGAACAGGTTAGGTGAGAGAAGCTGACTTTCACCTCTGCTAGATCCTGCAGGGAGAGCGTGTGTGTACCTTTAACTAAGGTGGTGTCTTTTACTACTCTCTTCAGCTCAGACTGGGCACCAGTTCATTCCACTTACCTACTGGGAGCAGCAGAAACTCACAGACATCGAAGCTCATGCAGGCCTTGATCTCCCCTCACCTCTTCTCTAGCTTTACCCTTCACTAACATTTATCTCTGAAGTGGCAAACTTGCATGTTTATCACTTAATAACTAAAATAAACAGCATTGATGAAGATTTCCTCATTCCAGAATGAAAGCACAATTCTCTTAAGACTCTAGGACAGGCAGAGCAAGAATCTTGAAACCTTTGCTTGAACTCTAGTGACCACTTATTGAGAACTTAGGAGAGCTGGCCTGGAGCTTAGAATCGGTTATCCATAGGAAGCAAGGGGAGGCTGGGAAAGTAAGGGTTTTACTGCCAAGATCACAATGTCTAACATGGTGCCCAGGCTCCACCAGGGCCAAGATAAACATGGCTCATGCAGCTAGGGCCCAATGCTGCTAACTTTAAACCACACAAGAACTGCTTGTCTTTTGCGCTCAACTGCAAGGAACATAATAAATGCTGGCTGAGGGACGCTTCTGTTCTGGAAAATCCAGGTATCTTAAATACCTTTCCCTACAAGTTAGAAAAAATAAAAATAAAAGAAGCAATGTTTTGGGTATCCAAGACACTCTATGAGACTTTTATGGCTCCAAGATACCCGAGACACTTAACTTTTATTAACTTTCATTTACAACTTTAGAATAATGGGCCAGGCATGATGACATAAGCCTTTAATCTCAGAATTTGGAAGGCAGGGAGATCTGAGGTTAACCTGGTCTACATAGCGAGTCCGAGTCCCTGTTTGGATTACCTGCTGCAATGCCGGTCGGTTGGCCAACTGCAAGAAAACAGCTCCGCAATGAGCAGGTTGAGAAAGCAAATGCGCAAAGCCTTCAGTTTTTAAAAAGACAACTCGATTCTGCCTAAAATGGTCAAGATCGCTCGCACTCGGTGGTCACACTCGAGTTCTTTTTTTTTTTTTTTTCGAGACAGGGTTTTTCTGTAGCTTTGGGACCTGTCCTGGAACTCGCTCTGTAACCATGCTGGCCTCGAACTCAGAGACCCTCCTGCCTCTGCTTCCCGAGTACTGGGATTAAGAGTTCACCACCACCGCCCGGCCACATTCGAGTTCTGCGGCTATGTGGGTCGCGGCAGGGCCGAGGCTGGGTTGCAGAGCACACACCTGGAATGCACGGTTTCCCAGGTGGAGCCCACGCGCGGACTACAAACGCGTCTTGAGCCACGGAACACCTAACCACCGGGCACAGAGGCAAGGCCTGATACGCACGCGCGCCAGGGCCCTTCGGGTACTGTCTCACCACACCATCCGCTTCCGCGGCCGGCGCCAAATAAGTCTCCAAGCCCGCCCGGCCCGTGCGTGCGCGGCCTTGGTGTCTGCGTCACTAGGAAGCGCGCGCCCGCGCCGCCGCCGCCGCCGCCGCCGCCGCCGAATCCCCAACAAGGAGCGAAGCCTGCGGCCGCCACCGCCGCCACCCGCCGCCGCACCCGTCACAGCCGGGCGCCAGAGCAGGCCGGTGTGGGCCCAGGTAAGCGGCTTCGGCGTGCCCGCGCACCCCCGCGGCGAAGCCTCTCGCGCCGCTCACGCGCCGCCGTCCAGTCAGGGGTCCCTGCGGAGCGTCAGGACGTTACGGCGGGGGGAGGGGAGGCCGGGGGAGGGGCGGCGGGCACGCGAGGGCGGCGGCGGCGTCAGGCGCGGCGGCGTCAGGCGGGCGGGCGCGGGCGCCTGGCGCGAGGGCTCGCGAAGGCGGCTGTGCTTCCGGCGTCCATCTTGGCTGCGCCGGAGCCGGGTCGCGTCGTCAGGGAAAGCCGGAGCGGAAAGGGGCCGTGGGGTGGTGGTGGGGATCCACCGGTGGGCGCCAAATGAGTCGGGTCTCCCGAGGGAGGGTGGAAAGGCGGTGGGAATTCATCCCAGGACCTCGGCTCGGAACGGAACCCACGGAGACTTATGAGCGTAATTGTAATTCCTCCATCAGTGGAACCATGTCACTGTGGACCTGTTGGTGGGAACCGCAGTAGGGACTCGTTTGTAAAACTGTGGTTGGTGAGAACCACCACGTAAGAACTCATCGGGACAAACTGAATGGATAATCTGTCTCATCGGTGGGAACCGGATCAGTTTGATCCGTATTTAGTCATGATTGGTTACATCTTTAGCTATTATTTAGTTGATTACTTTTTTTTTTTTTTTTTTGCTGAACCGGTTCTCTTGCAAACATTTCAAATACAACAGTTTCATCACTATTCTCACCAAGTTAAATGTAGGACTGCCCACTTAGCTTTTTTTAGCTTGTTTTTTTCACAGGAAGTATGCAAAACTTTTTGGAAAGATTCTGGAGTACACATACGTCACATACATACATACCATTTGGACATATGTAGAATGCAAAACACATGTCCATGTGTGACATGTGACAGACACACACACACAGAGATCGATTTAGAGCACCAAGGAAAACGAATTTATACCTAGGCCATAGATTTACCCACATTTTTTGTTCTTTGTTTTGCTTTTGTTTTTCGAGACAGGGTTTCTCTGTGTTGCCCTGGCTATCCATTTGTAGACCAGGCTGGCCTCGACCTCACGGACTGCTCCTGCCTCCCAAGTGCTGGGATTAAAGGCCTGTGCCATACTGCCCTGTAGACTCAACTTCCTTATGACTCACCTGGAAAGGGAGGATATTGAGGTGTCCCTTCAGTGCTAGGGTCCTGCCATACGGTGAAGTTTACTGGTCCCCTGCCTCGCTCCATTACTCCTCTTCCTACACAGAGAAACCCTGTCTCAAACAAAAAGAATTTAAAAATGTTTGTTGAGGCTTGTTTAGAGGTCTTTGCTTTGAAGTCTTAACTCTCAAAACAGTACATTAGTGAAAAATTTTGTTCCAGAAGTAGGAAGTCTGCCAATGTACATGGATTCCTGAGAAGCGTTTGAAGATAGTCTCTACAGACCTGGGTTGGTCCTAACCTGGGGATGGAGGTTTCCATAAACTCTTTCATAGCTGGAAATATTCACATGTAAATATGCCTTGATTTAATGCACCTTGTTCTGTTGGACAGCTTCCAGATTTGTATTGGAGCGATAATAAAAGGCTGAATTTAAGGATGTTCTCAAATTTTTCTCAGTGTTGGGGATGGAACTTCTGGCCTCATGCAGGGCTTCACAAGTTTCAAAATATTTTTTTCTGTTTTTTGTTTTTAGTACTTCTTTTTCCTTCCCTTGTTCTTTTTAGCTTTTTTTTTTCTTCTCCATTGCTCATTTTCTATACCTTTTTAGTCAAGAAAGAAGTGCCGCTTTATCTATGTTTTCTAATTGTTAGTATCCTGTGCCTAGATATATTCTGTTGGAACTGGGGAAATGGCTCAGTGGGTAAAAGTGCTTGCTTTGCAAGCATGAGAACGTAAGTTCAAATCCCCAGAACTCACATAAAAACGGGACCTGTAGCAGGAGTGTCTGATATCAGCCCATTGCAGGGCAATGGGAAGTGGAGACAGGAGAATCCTGAGAAGCTCATGGACTGGCTGGCCTAGCATATGAAGCTGTGGACAACACAGAGATCCTGTTTTGAAACAAAGTGGAAGTTGAGGGCCAGCACCTCTGACTCATGCACAAGCAATGTGGCACACATGCTCTTGCATTCAAATTCTCTCCTCTCCTCCACACAGCGAAACAAGATATATTCTACTTATATGTTCAGTGTGTTCTCTGTAGGAAAATCAGTGTTTTTCCTTGTGGGTTTGGCTCTGAATAATTTTCTTTCTTACTCTAACTCAACCAAATCCTCTGTGGTGGGGCTCATTCTTACCAACTTGTGATTATTTTGGAAAGTGGCCCCCTAGTTTCTTTTTGCTTCTTTCTCTTTGTGAATGTTTCCTTGCCACAATCCTTGCTTTTAGTCAGCCTACATTTCCTGGTTCCTTGGATCTTTGGGTCAAGGATACTACAGGGACTGGATATTGTTGGTGTTTGGTAGCTCAAAAGTTCTTTACTTCCCTTTGGCCCTTGGGAATCCTCCGGGGACCCAGGTCCAGCCCAGAACCAAGATCATTGGTTGGCATTTTACAGGAGGAGATAAACTAGGAAATCTGACAGCTTTGCATTCCTCCCCCTAGAAGTTCATAAAAAGCCTTCATGTGCTTAGGCTTGGAGCCAGGTGCGGTGGTGGTGGTGTGCACATCAGTACTTCCTGCACTCAAAAGGCTGATGCAGGAGGGTCACAGATCTGAGGCTAATTTGGGTATAACAAGATCCTCTCTCTCTTAAAAAAAAAGTGTTGGGGATATAAGGTTGAATATATAATTTAACAAAGAATTTGAGCTCTCTAAGGGGATGTGTTGTGACGAGCTGTTTGGTTAGTTGGTTCTATCACCGAGAGTTTAATTGTAGAGGCTGGAGTATGGTTGTGGAAGTGGAGTCTGAGAAATCTGTCTTTGGACATACTTGCTGCTTGGTGAGTGCTAGTCATTAGTAATTATTATGATAAAAATCAAGTTCTGATCAAGGCATGATAGCTCACACACCTTTTAAAAATAAATTTATTTATTTTATGTATATGAGTGCTTTATTGACTTTATGCAAGAAGAGGGCATCAGATCCCACTATAGATAGTTGTGAGCCACCACATGGGTGCTGGGAATTGAACTCAGGACCTCTGAAAGCGCAGTCATCTCTCCATAGCTCACACACCTTTAATCCCTGTACTGGAGAGGCAGAGACAGGCAGGTCTCTGAGAGTTCAAGGCTAGCTTGGTCCACATAGTGAGTTCCATCCAGGTCAGCAAGGACTAAATAGTGAGACCCTGTCTTAAAAAGAGAAAGAAAATTCTGAGGCCAGGGATCCTCAGGCAAGGACTCTTACTGTTAAGCCTGACAATGTGATTTTGATTTCCTAGGATACTCAAAGTAGGAAGAGAAAATTATCACCAATTTCTTTTCTGGACGCCATTTCTATGACACAAGCATGTACTTTCACACACAAATAAATAATCAGCATTAAAAAACAAATTCTGAGCTGGATGTGGTTGCGCATGCCTTTAATCCTAGCACTCAGGAGGCAGAGGCAGGTGGATCTGAGTTCAAAACGAGCTTGGTCTACTAGTGAGAAAGAATTCCAAGACAGCCAGGGATACACAGAGAAATCCTGTCTCGAAAAACCACACACATACAAACATACAACACATACACATAAAAACTAATTTTTTTTCTCCTTCTAGCAAATATTTAGTTTTTGAGACAGGGTTTCTCTGTGTAGCTCTGGCTGTCGGTTCTTGCTCCGTAGACCAGGCTGGCCTTGAACTCACAGAGATCTGCCTGCCTCTGCCCCTCAGATTCTTTTTTTTTAAAGTCACTTCCAAGGGATTAAAGGTACTATGCCCAGCAAGTTTTTAATCTATTTTTTGAGGCTTACTTATTACTATTATTTTATTATTATTTCTGTCTGTCTTATCCCTCTATCTCTGTTTCTGTGTATGAGCTCACCAAAAGAGAACACTCTAGCCCATGAATTGGTAACCAAATTCTACAAGAGCAAGAAACACTCCTAACTCTGAACCATCTCTTCTATCCCTTAGCAAGTATTTATGGTCTCAGTCTTCTAGCCTAAATATATAATCCTAATGGAATTGTCTATTATAATAGCTTTAAACTTTTTACTTTTTTTAAAGACAGGGACTCATGTAGTATAGGTGGTCTTGAATTCCTTATATATCAGAAGATGACCTTGATCTTCTTGCCCTCTTCTGAACTCTGTGATGCATACATACATACATATTTGCAAACAAAATACTCACAAACCTAAAATATATCTTTTTTAAAAAAGTAGAAAGAGGGCAGAGAGAATGCTATGGGTTTGCTCTCTGGTGTAAGTGGACTTTTCTCTCTCCCCCGCCAGTTCCCAAATAACTGACACAGGGACCAAATGTTAATATAAGTGCTTGACCAATAGCTGAGGCTTGTTACTAGATAATTCTAACATTTAAATTAACTCATGTTTCTTATCTGTGCTTTGCCACATGGTTTGGTACCTTTTCTCGGGATGGCCTGACCATCTTGCTTCTCTCTGCATCCTTGGACTCTGACCTTCTTCCCAATGTCCTCCTAGTCTGTTCCCTCACCCAGTCTCTGTCTGTCCAGCTATAGGCCAGTCAGTTCTCTATTAGCCAATGAGAGTAATACATAATCACAGTGTACAGCAGGATTACCCCACAACACTCCAGGACATAAATACACACATAAATAACAATTGTTCTTTACTTTGTAGTCCCTTTGTTTCTTATGAGAACTCCAGTTACCATGTGGTAAAGCAAACCTTTTTACCTGGAATTTGGAGATTTTTCTTTCTTTCTTTTTTTTTTTTTCCAGCTTGATTCTGACTGGGATATGCCTGTTGGAGGTTTGCCAAGCTTCTGGGACAGGCATGTTTGTCACTAAATTTGGGGAACATTTAGCTTTTTTTTTTCTTTTTGATATGTCATCCAGTTGACCTTGAATTTTTAGCAACCCTCTTGCCTTTTCCTCCTGGTGCTGAGGTTACAAGTGTGCAAATATGCAGCAACCATGCCTGGCTATGTTCCGCAAAGTATATTTTAATATTTTTTTCAGTTTAATGCTTTTCTGCTCTGCTCTAGGACTCCAGTGGCACACACTGGCTTTGCTGCACCTCTGTGAAGCTCAGTTCAGCCTGCCTTCCAGCCTGTTCCCCAATGCTCAGATTGGACAATTTCTGAAGCTCTGTCTTATGTTCCTGACTCCTTCTTATGTTGTCTCCATGCTACCATGGAGCCCATCCAGTTTTATTTTGTATTTATTTTTATTGATCTTTTATTTTTCACACATACACACGTTTTTTATTCTTAGACTTTTGGTTGGTGGTAACTTATGTTTTGTATCCAGACAGACCTCTTCTCAGGCATATTTGGCTTACTCCTGGAGGATGGTACACCTAGTTGTCTACAAGTCTCTGTTGACTGTAGCATTAAGTGTCTCTTGATGATTTTTCACTTGAGAGTAATCAGGCTTTCCTGGTTCTTTATATATCAAGCAGTTTGTTGAAGAAGGACGCTTAAAAGAAGTCCCACACTAGCTCAGAATTGAGAATAATAGAGGGGTATTTATTTAGGGATGACTCACAAGTCACAAACCACTGCTGGAATGGAGGACAGGGGAAGAACAGCAACTGAGCCGGGCGATGGTGGCGCACGCCTTTAATCCCAGCACTCGGGAGGCAGAGGTAGGCAGATCTCTGTGAGTTCGAGACCAGCCTGGTCTAGAGAGCTAGTTCCAGGACAGGCTCCAAAGCCACAGAGAAACCCTGTCTCGAAAAACCAAAAAAAAAAAAAACAAAAAAAAAACAAAACAAAAAAAGAACAGCAACTGAATCCCCTAGCCAGAAAAGAGGTGGAAAGTGCGCTTTATATCAATATAAATAATTTAGTATAAGAGGTCACGCCCAAGTGGGTGGGTAACTTAAAGGCTACTGGCAGAGGAATTCCTACAGTAGTTTGTTTGTTTGTTTTGAGATAGAGTTTCTCAGTGTAGTCCTGGCTGTCCTGGAACTTGCTCTGTGGAAAAGGCTGGCCTTGGATTTAAAGGGAGTCACCTGCCTCTGCCTCCTGAGTGCTGGGATTATACACCCAGCTGTCAATCAGTTGTTTTTTTTTAAAATATTTATTTATTTATTTATTTATTTATTATGTATACAATATTCTGTCTGTGTATATGCCTGAAGGCCAGAAGAGGGCACCAGACCTCTTTACAGATGGTTTTGAGCCACCATGTGGTTGCTGGGAATTGAACTCAGGACCTTTGGAAGAGCAGGCAATGCTCTTAACCACTGAGCCATCTCTCCAGCCCCTGTCAATCAGTTTTGAATTACACCTGTATACAATAACATTAAAGGGGCTGGAGAGATGGCTCAGCGGTTAAGAGCATTGCCTGCTCTTCCAAAGGTTCTGAGTTCAATTCCCAGCAACCACATGGTGGCTCACAACCATCTGTAATGAGGTCTGGTGCCCTCTTCTGGCCTGCAGACATATATAGAGGCAGAATGTTGTATACATAATAAATAAATATTAAAAAAATAACATTAAAAATGTTATTGTATGAGGTTGTGTGTTCAGTGTCTCAGAGTGGACATTTTTCCTGAAGTACGGGCTGGACCTAGTTGGTCAGGCCAAGTGGTTTATTTTAAACTTTATAAAATTGCATTTTTTTTTATTTATTTAGAGAGTGTGTGTGTGTGTGTGTGTGCACGCATGTATACATGTCCACATCCATTTTGTATGTGTGGTTGTCAGAAGATAACTTGTGTCAGTCAGTTCTTTCCTCCATAGACAGCTCTCTGGGATCAAATTTAGGTTGTCAGTGTTGGCAAAAGGTCTTTTTATTCCCTGAGCCATCTGGTCAGCCCTGAGTGAGACAGGCTCTCACTCTGTAATCCATTCTGACCTCTCTCTCGGGATCCTTTTTGCTCATCCTCCTGAAATCTGGTATTACAGGCATGTCCACCACACCCAGCCAGGGAGCACTTCACTCCTCCATGCTGTGTTCAGGTCCATCTTCAGAGCCTCTGCAGTGACCCTGGCACCCACCCTGTGAATACTGTCCATGGCCCAGTCTGAAGCCTAAGTGTAACTAACTGTCTTAGTTTGTTGTTGTTACTGTGATAAAATACCCTGACAAAAGCTTCGTTTAAGGGAAAAAGGATTTATTTCAGTTCACACAGCAAGAGCTTGAAGTGGCTAGTCATAAATAAAAAGCAATTAATGCATGTTTGTTTATTAGCTTCCTTTTTCTGCCTGTATAGTGCAGAATTCCCCGCCCAGGGAATAGCCACATCTATAATTAAGATGGATCTTCTAATATCAGTTAAGGTAATCAAGATAATACCCATCAGGCATGGGCAGAGGTTCATTTCACAGGTGATTACAGATTCCATCAAGTTGAAAGTTAACTACTGCAGCAGTATGCCCTGTAGGTCAGTCAGTACTGAAAGCCATCAGTTTTCCATGTAGGGTTAGGTCCATACGTGTTACATCTCAGGATGTTATATGCATTCTTGTGTAGCTATGTGTAGGCTTGTCTGTACATCCTTCCTATCTATACCATGTCCCACCCACTCTAACTCTAGGGCCTCTTTTTTGTCCTCCGGCTAGAAACCCCTGCTGTGCTTGCTCCAACATTTCATGACTGGGTCCATCATGGGCCTGGCATAGAGCTTGGGATATGAGAGAGTACAATCTCTGGGCTCTAAACCAGTCCTCGAGTGAGGAGGCATTGCTTCTAAATTTGGTGCTTTTGAAGTTACTACCACCATCACAGAGTTTGAGCTTGAGTTTGCGCAGGGCAGGCCCAGCAAAGACAGAAACTAATAATAATAATTATTAGCAGTGTGTTTTCTCCTTTCTGTCTTGTGTGGATTTCACTACACTTTCCTAAGGTCGGGTGCTTCTTATCTACACTTGGGCTCAGACCACTTTTGAGTTCAGCCAGGAGATAAAGAATAAAAAGTAGTAATTGGGAAGCCCGCCTTCAGGAAAATCACCCAGAGTTTGCATTCCTTCCATATTCTGCTGCTCGCTGTGTCTGAGTTTCCAGGTCGACATGGATTGAGTGGAGGTGTGTGACCCATCTATTCGGGGGGAAAAGATTGGGTTTATTTATGGCATCTACCAATCCAGGGCCCAGGGGCTCCTGCATTGCCGCCATTTCTTGTCAGAGAGCATTAGGTGGCAACTCGGAGGAGAGTCTTCGGTGATACTGAATACTGTCAACTGCTATGTACTGTGGTAGCAAAAAAATTTTTTTTTTCAGTGCTGGAGATATGATCCAGGACCTTGTACATACTTGGCAGTGCTCTCTTATTAATCTACACCTCAGCCCTCAACTGTTTTGTTATGCCAGTATGGAAACTATAACCTGTGCCCTGCTTTGTTCTAGGATTTGAGACCCTGGAGGAGCAACACTGCTGACCTCAGGCATCTTCTTCCACTAAGCATGGCGACCCCAGATGTGAGCGTCCACATGGAAGAGGTGGTGGTTGTGACAACTCCAGACACTGCAGTTGACGGCAGTGGTGTGGAGGAAGTGAAGACAGTGCTTGTAACAACAAATCTAGCCCCTCATGGGTAAGAACTAAGCCTTGGTCCTGCCAGGTGTAGGGGTGAGCGTCCAGATTTCTGTCCATACAAGGTTCTGAGACTGGACACAGCAAGGTGAAGTGCAGAGTGTGTCAGGATCAGCAGATCTACGGTGATTGCAGTTCACCATGGTAGTGTGATTCTAGATCTCTGGGTGATTGCTCTTTCGATAAATGAAACAGTAGGAACTGAATATTTTCTTTCTTTCTTTTTTTTTTTTTTCGAGACAGGGTTTCTCCGTGGCTTTTGGTTCCTGTCCTGGAACTAGCTCTTCTAGACCAGGCTGGCCTCGAACTCCCAGAGATCCTCCTGCCTCTGCCTCCCAAGTGCTGGGATTAAAGGCGTGTGCCACCACCGCCCGGCAACTGAATATTTTCTTTATCATCTCTTGTTCTAGAGGTCAAAAGCGATAATTAGTTGGTCAAAAAGTCACATTTAACCAAGCCTTTTGCCTCTTATATACAGAATTTTATATACAGAATTGTGAGGAGGTAGCGGGATAACTCCTGCCCTGACAAGGGGTAGGGAAAGGGTAGCAGTCAGTGGCTGTGGGATTTCTTATTCTTTCTCCCCTGAGAGACTTGGTCTCTGGGCTTTGGGCTTGTCTTTGCTGAATCTTGTGTAGTATTGTCATACTGAACTTAACTTTTCCTGGAGCCTGGGTGAGCTTTTGGCTCACTTGTTGACAGTCAATTTTAAAGAGGAAGGTTGTAGCCCTCTCCTTGCTGCCCTCTCTATTGAGCAGGCTGTTCTTCTCATAGGCATGTGTTGCTGTCAGCTGCAGAATAGGGATCGGAGCCTTCCTCCTCAGGGAAAACATGGGAGCTGGTGTGCCTAGCTGTGCAGGACTGACTTAGGGTGGTTGTGAGTTGAATTATGTGTGATCCTCCCCTGCTTTGTGAACATAGCAGAAGACCCTGTCTGTAAAGTAGGACCTTCCAATAGCATTTCCAATGAGGAGTCTCCTTCTGTTTCTCTCTCTCTCTCTCTTCCTTCCTTCCTCTGCCCGTCCCTCTCTTCTTTCTTTCTTTCTTTCTTTCTTTCTTTCTTTCTTTTTTGGTTTGGTTTTTCGAGACATGGTTTCTCTTTGTAACCCTGGCTGTTCTAGAACTCACAGAGATCTGCCTGCCTCTGCTTCCCAAGTTCTGGGATTGAAGGTGTGTGTTACCACCACCTGACTTTTTTTCTTTTTGAGACAGATTCTTTTTATAGCCCTGGCTGTCTTGTATAAATTCACTATGTAAACCAGGTTGGCCTCAAGCTCATAGAGATCTGCTTACCTCTGCCTCCCATATGCTGGAATTAAAGTGCTACTATATGCAGCCCACTGAGTCTCCTTTGATTTATATCATTGTCTTGATATATGGGTTGGATGTTTCCTGGGTATATATTTTAGGTATACTGTATTTTCTGACACCCCCCCATTGATCTTTTCATACCCTTATCCAAAAGCCATACCCACCTTTTCCCTTAGTGTTGTAGGAACCCGCCCAGACTTGAAATAACCACACAGAACCTGTATTAATTAAATCACTGCTTTGCCTATTAGCTCTAGCTTCTTATTGGCTAGCTCTTAAATATTAATTTAACCCGTTTCTATTAATCGGTGTAGCGCCACGGGGCTGTGGCTTACCTGTAAGGTTCTGGCTCGTCTGTCCCCAGCCACTACATGGCGTCTCCTCACTCTGCTTTCTTTCTCCTAGCATTCAGTTTAGTTTTCCCTGCCTAGTTCTGTTCTACCCTACTATAGGCTCAAAGCAGTTTCTTTATTCATTAACCAGTAAAAGCAACACATATGCAGAAGGACTTCCCACATCACCTTAGATTTGGGGTACTCTGTGGTAAATAGTGTGGCAGAAGTGACACTGTATTAGAAAAGGTCACGTAGCTTCTGCTTTCTGCCCTAGGGTCACTGTTAGGAGTTCAACTGACATACTTCATATCTCTAGTATCACCTAGGATTTTGGGGGAAATGAGGGCTATCTTCCTGATAGTCTTTCCAGCTGAAGCCCAACATTGTGGTGGACCACTACTGTACAGTTTCAGTCCCATATCAAAGACCCTTCAATATTACTCCCCCCTTCTCTTTATTTTGACAGGATCTCATTCTATAATCTATTCTGGAATTCACTATGTATCCTAGGCTGACCTGGAATGAAAGAGGATCCTCTTGCCTCACCTCCTGAATAATGGAAAGCAGACACCACCATGCATAGTTGGGTATTACTGTCTGTCTTCTTGGATATTTTCACGTAGTTGTGAGCTTAGAGGTGTCCCTTGTGGGTGTCATGCTATCTTGTAAGAGAGATCAACTTCTGGGGCTATCCTAGATATGAGGGTGTTGGCCAACATAGTTCTTTAGCATCTGGGTGTACATATTTGCTACTTTTGTCTTCATTAGAAAGGCAATTTCTGGAGGTCAGCTTTGCTGTATCAACACTGAGCTGCTTTCCTGGGATGCAAAGAGTTTGCATATACCAAGGACGTAACAATTGTTTAATAGTAGTGAGAAGTAGCAAGAGTATAATTGGTCAGTTTGCCCTGTTTACTGGTATGTTAGTTGCTGAGGAGTAAGAAACTACCACAGGCTGGATGTGGCTCATGCCTATAATCCTATTGCTTAGGAGCCTAAGGTGGAAGGATCCTGAGTCCAGGCCAGTGTAGGCTATGTAGTAGTGGGAAAGAAGTGGACAAGGGAGGAAGGGAAGCCAGGTGGTGGTGGCATGCGCCTTCAATCCCAGCACTTGGGAGGCAGAGGCAGGTGGATCTTAGTGAGTTCAAGGCCAGCCTGGTCTTCAAAGCGAGTTCCAGAATATCCAGGACTGTTACACAGAGAAACCCTGTCTTGAAAAACCAAAAAGAAATCATTTCAAAATTCGGGAACTTAATATATAAATATTTATTATTTCTTCTAATTCTTTCATTTGGCTCTGGCTTTATGGTTTAGGCTTTAGTTTGTTGTTTTTACTATTTATTCTTTGCCCTTTGAGGGGCCTGCCGTCCAGCTCCCAAATAAATACACATGGAGTCTTATTCTTATTTATGAACGCTCGGCCTTAGCTTGACTTGTTTCTAGCCAACTTTTCTTAAGTTATACCATCTACCTTTGCCTCTGGACTTTCTCCTTTCTTACTTTCTGTACATCTTCCTCCAAATTGCCAAGATACAGGTTTCTTTATTCTGCCATGAGGCCCAGTACTTGCAGTGTCTTCTTTTGTTCAAGCCTCTGCTGATGGTTCTGTACTATTTAGGGAGAAATTGCAGTTCCCACCCTGATGTCATTCCTGACTTAGCTACAGAAATTATATGACAGACTATCACAGACCTCAATGGAGTGGATAGCCAGTGCCTTTTACTTTCTTGGTGTGTTGGGTTTGCTTTGTCTGGGTGGCCTCACTCTATACCTATCGAGATACCTGTCTGAGTGTGTCCTCATAGTGGAAGGTTCTATAGCAGGGTTGGGAGCTGTAGCGTCTTCTCCGTCCCATTCGTAAGCTGATCAAAGTTTGCCCGAGTTAAGTGGGAGAATAATAAATGACTCTCTTTGATGGGAAAAACCATGAAGAATCAGAAGGCCTCTTCTATCTGTGACCTTAGTACCAGGGTGCTAGCATGTTGCTCCCAATGCTCAGTCCTGTTGTAGAAAGGAGGCTGTGATTCCTCCTTTGGAAGAACCCACATAGCCCCCAGGAGATCTGTCCTGAAGATTGGGGAACTTTTTTTTTCCTGACCTTGAACTCACAGAGAGAACTTTCCATTTTTGCATTTTTGATGGGAAGCTGTATCCATTATCCTACTAGTTGGAAAATGAGATTTAACTCTTTTTTTTTGTTTTGTTTTTTTTTTTTTTTGTTTTTCGAGACAGGGTTTCTCTGTGGCTTTGGAGCCTGTCCTGAAACTAGCTCTGTAGACCAGGCTGGTCTTGAACTCACAGAGATCCGCCTGCCTCTGCCTTCTGGGATTAAAGGCGTGCGCCACCATCACCCGGCTTAACTCTTTTTTTAATTAATTTATTTTTATTTTATGTGCATTGGTGTTTTGCCATGGGTGTTGGGTCCTCTGTAATTAGAATTACAGACAGTTGTGAGCTACCATGTTGGTGCTGAGAATTGAATCTAGGTCTCCTAGGAGAACAGTCAGTACTCTTAACCACTGAGCCATCTTTCCAGTCCCAAGACTTAACTCTTAATGTGTGCAAAAAAAAACAAACAAACAAAAAAACCAAAAAACAAACAAACAAACAAAAAAAAAGGAAAAGAAAGTAGATAGAGGCTAGTTAGTTTCCTTGTGGGAACTGATTTCCTTCCTGATTTGGGGAGACCTGGGAAGTATTCTTTACTAGAAAGCCTGACAGAATTATTCCTGCTCACCACCATGCTGTGGCAGTCTGCCTACCACAGAGAAGAAAGTGGTTCTCAATAGAAGACCAGGAGTTCACATGTTTGGGAAAATATATTTTTTATGTGATATATGAATAGAAATGCCAATTTATTCACCTCTTTGCTGAGAGTTGGAGAGATAAGTTTATAGGCTGTGCTGCAGAGGGTCTATACTACACCCATGGAGGTACTTCTACCCTCAATCTTCACTCTGATTTCCTCGGCCATTTCCAGCTAATGCTGACCCTTGGTTTGCTAATGTCCTTGTATGGGTTTTCTACTGACTCCCAAGTTGGTAGCTGTAGTCTCTCCTAAATGGCACAGCGAGGGGTTTCAGGATCTCTTTCCCCCACTCCTGACTTCCTTTCTTGTAAGAGTTTGTTTTGGACAGGGTGTACATCTGGTTCTGTCATTGTCCTCTGCTTTGTCCAAAGTTCTGGCTGAGGATGATAGCTTCCTTTCCAAGTTCCTGCAGACTTTCTGGAGTCTGGGTGTTCCCATTTAATATTACTGTTTATATCAAAGTCATTCCTTCTTGTTGTTATTATTGTTGTTGTTTTTGAGACAGAGTCTCTTTAATTCTGTGACTATCAACCTGTGGGTTGTGACCCCTGTGGGGCTTGATTGGCCTTTTCACAAGGGTTGCATTATCAGCCTGTTTATCAGATATTTACATTATTATTCATAAAAGTTGCAAAATTACAGTAATTAAATAGCACTGAAAACAATTTTATGCTTGGGGGTCACTGCAGCATGAGGAACTGTATTAAAGGATCTCAGTATCAGGAAGGTTGAGAACCACTGCTTTAAGAAGTCCTGGCTGGACTATTTATGTACATCAGACCTGCCTCTGCCTCCTGAGTGCTGAGATGAATGGTGTGCACCACAATGCCTGATTTAGAGCCATTCTTAATGTCTCAAAAGGCAGATTGCAAGCCAGATGGTGATAGTGCATGTTTTTAATCCAAGCACTCGGGAGGCAGAGGCAGATGGATCTCTGTGATTTCGAGGCCAGCCTGGTTTACAGAGTGAGTTCCAGAACAGCCAGGGCTACACAGAGAAACTCTGTTTTCAAAAACCAAAAACAAAATAATTAATTAATTAAAAATAAAACTAGTTCCCAGTTTGTGTTTCTGTTTAACTTCCATTTCTGACCTGGTTCAAGGCAAAATAACTCTTGGTGATTGGGAAGCAGTGAAACAGCAGCATCAGGTATTCCACAGGGGAGATGCGGCTAAGCCCTCAGGACACTGTTTTATGAGCTTCTGAGATGCTTGGGTGGAGCTCCTGGTACATAAATCCAGTGAGGGGAGCGGTCAGGCTGGAGGCTGTCTGGGGCTGTGTGTACTCACAGTGGGCAAATGTGTCAGGTAGGACCCAGCTGTGGGTTCCAGGCTCCCTCTTCTCTGCAGTGAGTAGCCCATGCTTTAACCCTGAATAGCCTCCTCTTCCTGTACTCCTCCTCTCCTCTGAGACAAGGAGTATTGTCCTTTCTAGGGATGTATGGCAGGTCTGAGAGTTCTCAAGCCACACTTGTTATCCACACTGCATTCACTGCTGTAGACATCCTTTCCAGGGCCTGGCTTTCTGATGCTGCCACGTATTGGTGCCCTGCCCTTAGGCCTTCTCCATCCGTGCCTCACACTACCTTTGTTTTCCTTACCTCCTAGAGACCTTCTTAATTAATTTTTGTTTGTATGGGTGTCTAGCCTGCCTGTATGTCTGTGCCTTTTGAGTACGTTGCCAGGAGACGGTGTTGAATCCCATGGAACTGGAGCTACAGACAGCTGTGAACCGCCATGTGGGGGCTTGGGATTGAGCCCAGGTCCACTGGAAGAGCAGCAGTTCTTAACCTCTGGGTCACTGAGGGATCCCTAGTCTGGGCCAAGCCCTGACCTCTGATGAACTGCAGGCTTGCCTAGAAAATTGCCTATTGCTTGTGTAGTAATTGTGGACATTTTGTAGACTTAGAAGACTATCTAGCCACAGGAGAAAGAAACCTACAACTGTGCAAGCAGCTGTGGATGACAGAGACCTGTTGGTAAAGCGGTTTCAGAGCCTGATAGTTGGCTTCATTGTTCCTAGGCCATGGGGAGGTAGAAGGGTGTGGTGAATGGAGATGAAAGGCACAGGTGCTCATCCCAGGACAGCTAGGAGACAGAAAATGGAAGGAAGAGCCAGGGACAAGGTATGTCCTTCCAAAGCACACTCCCAGGGATCTACTTACTTTAGACTGCATCTTTTTTTTCTATCACCTCTCAATAATATCATCATATTATCATCCATCAAGTGATTAATTTATTGATAAAGTCAGGGCCTTTATGATCCAGTCACTTCCCCAAAAGCTCTAGCTCTGAATACTGCTCTATCGGGAACTAAGCTTTCAACACAAACCTTTTGGGCAAGCTACGTTATGTCTAAACCGTGATGTGTGCCCTCTTGGGGTTCTCTAGCTATGCCGGAATGCTGCTGTTTTCCACAAATATCCTGGTGGTAGATACTTCCATCTTTGGCCCATCTAGATGAAAGTGGTTTCTCACTCATCTTTTTTTTCTCCCAGTGCTGGAGATTGAACCCAGCACTCTACTGGTAAGCACTCTACTACTGAGCATACCAGTTCTCACCTTATCCTCATTCGCGTTTCTTAGGAATTGGAAGCAGTCTCCTCGCAGGTTTCTCATGGCTCTGGTCTTGGACCTTGGACTGTCCTCCAACTATTCATGTGTTCTCTCTTTTATAAAGTTGCTCATGCTGTTTTTTGCCCCATGCTAAAAGGGTCTTTTTGTTGTTTTGTTTTTAATTTATTATGTGTGCCGTGGTGTTTGTGTGTGGAACTCAGAGAGAAACTCCGAGTAGTTGGTCTTCTGCTTTGACCTGGGTTCTCGGGATTGATCTCGGGCATCAAGCTTGCATAACAAGTGCCTTTACTGGTAATTATATTTATTTATTTTGGGACAGAATATGGTGACATATGCCTTTAATCCCAGCACTTGGGAGACAGAGGAAGGTAGATCCCTGTGAGTACAAGGCCAGCCAAGACAGATTTTTACCTTTTTATTGTGTGTGTGTATATGTGTTCACCTGCATGTATTCAAGCCATTTGTTTGGTACTCATAAAGGTCAGAGAGGGTATTGGGGCCCCTGGAACTGGAGTAACAGGTAGTTGTGAGCCACCATGTGGGTGCTGGGATGGATCAAGGTCCTCTGTAAAAGCAACAAGTTCTCTTAACCATTGAGCCATCTCTCTAGCTCCTAATTTTATTTATTTACTTATATTTTAAATTTTGGAGCAAGTTTGAAGTAGGGTCTTGGCTATGTAGCCCTAACTGGCCTGGGAAGAGCTAAGGTGGACCAGGCTTGTCTGGAACTGGTAGTAATCCCCGTTTCTGCTCTTGAGTATTGAAATGATTGTGTGTGTGTGTGTGTGTGTGTGTGTGTGTGTGTGTGTATTTACACATATGAAGTCAGAGAACTTCCACATTTGATCTGAGGCTGTCAGGAGGTTTGGCAATAACTGCTGAGCTATCTCACTGGCCCCAGCTTCTATTTTTGTTTGTTTATTTTAAAATAGGATCTCTTTTCCCCCCTATATTTTGGAGGTTTCTTTTATTTATTTATTTATTTGTTTATTTTATGGGCATTGTTGTTTTGTCTGAACGTATGACTGTGTGAGGGTGTCAGCAGGTCCCCTAGAACTAGAGTTACAGAAAGTTGTGAACTGCTTTATGGGTGCTGAGAATTGAACCCAGGTTCTCTGGAAGAACAGTCAGTGCCCTTAACCACTGAGCCATCTCTCTGCCCCCGAAATAGGATCTTTTGTAGCCCAGGATGGCCTCAAGCTTATTGTATTTCTAAGCATGACCTTGAACTTCTGATTATTCTGCCTTCTGGTAATACAGGTGTGTACCACCATGCCCATTTTATGTGGTACTGGGAAATCAAATTGGGGTCTTCGTGCATGCTAGGTAGGCAGTCTACCAGCTGAGATGCATCCCATTCCCAAATATTTTTATTTTTAATCCAACGGTATCCTTTTTTATGATTCTGGATTTTGTCTATAAGAAAAAACCTTGACCATTTTATTACTACTACTATTAATCATCTTCTTTTTAAAAAAATTCCATACTATATGGTTTCACCTTTTGCCTTTCCTTTTAGTTTGCTCATAATTTATTTTGGTTTGAGATATGGGTTAACGAAGATAAATTTTTTTCCTCTTTCAAAACTTTTGTATTGGGCTGGAGAGATGGCTCAGTGGTTAAGAGCATTGCCTGCTCTTCCAAAGGTCCTGAGTTCAATTCCCAGCAACCACATGGTGGCTCACAACCATCTGTAATGAGGTCTGGCGTCCTCTTCTGGCCTGCAGGCATATAAGCAGACAGAATGTTGTATACTAAATAAATAAATAAATATTTAAAAAAAATAAAAAAAACTTTTGTATTTTCTGAGAATATGGCTCTGTAGAACATTTGCTTAGTATGCTTGGTGGCCTGGGTTTGAGCTCTAAAACTGTAAAATATATATTTTTAGCAACTTTGTGTAACAGTATGAAATTATAATATTGGAAACAGAAAACATTATTAATTAAAGAAATAATGGTTTTGAGTTCCCATATGAACATTGTTGCTTCTGTAAGTTCCTCACATTGGCTTTGCTTGTCCATGGACACTTGTCCGGGCACCTGTGGAAGGCAAACATGGAGCAGAGAATGCAGGCTACATTTTCTCCTGAGGGGGACGTAGGCACTTATACTTTCTTCCCTGACTGAATAGCCACCACAACTTCTGAATATAGATAGAAAATTATAATTGTTTTGTCAGCAATGAGTCTCATCCTTCTACACTCTAGGTGTGCCAGGGACTGCAAACTGTGTACTTGGTCATTCTGATGTTCTTTTTCTCTGTCTACCAGGGGTGACTTGACAGAAGATAACATGGAAACAGAAAATGCAGCTGCTGCAGCTGCTGCAGCCTTCACAGCCTCTTCACAGCTCAAGGAAGCAGTGTTAGGTAGGAAACGCTATTGGCTGGGAAACTGTATTAGGTGGGAAGTCTGCCTTCTGTTGGTTGCGAGGACCTGACTGTTCCACCATTGAGGTAACAACCAGGGCTAGCTATGCCCTTGTCTGGGCTGTTTCCCAACATATAAGAGGCCAGGTCACAGGTCTTCTTAAGAGGGAGGGGCACATTGTATCTTAAATGAGAACTACTACCAGCCACTGGTAGAAAAAAGAGTCAACCTCAAATCTTGCAGCTTTCTCCTCTTTGGTATTTTGTTGTCTTGCCACTGCCTTCTCCCTGTTTCTTTTGTTTACCAGTAAATTATTGTAGGTGTTCTTTTATTACCTATGGGGCCTGAGTTGGGATACCTAAGACTTGCCTCCCTAGCAGTGTTTCAACTATACTTTAATTTTGTCTTCTAACATGGCTCTTCAACTGGTCATTGTTTAGTGACCTTATATTAATATTGTGTTTAATAGTTGCTGATAAGTAGCTTAGTCTTTTTTGTGGATTCATCTGAAATTCTCCGTGGGATTGATGGGTACCCCTGCTTCTGGGCTCTCTTTCCGGCCTTCTTGGATGTCAGTTTGGTTTCAGGTTGACAGCTACTTTCCACATTTGCAGGAAGTTCTTTGGAAAGTTTGCAACTGATTTTCTGTTTCTACTTTTTCTTGTCCATGTGTCTGTGAGAAGTGAAGATGGCTGAAGAGGGGGAGAACTTAGAGGCTGAAATTGTGTACCCCATCACTTGCGGAGACAGCAGAGCTAACCTCATTTGGAGGAAGTTTGTGTGCCCTGGCATCAATGTGAAATGTGTTCAGGTGAGGGTCAGGTGAGGCGCACACCTTTACCTGCACTTCCTCCTGCTTGGGGGTTGGGGGTGGCAGCGGCCTATGCAGGACACTCCTCTGGAGGCTGAGTCTCATGGGTCTGGGGAGACAGAGGAGGCACAGCAGATGACCTCTGGGATCCATGAGCACAGTGAGGAAAAGCCTCCAGCAAAGTAATTTAATTTCTGCTGAGGTGGAGCAAAAGAGACAGGTTGATGAGAGGACATGCCTAATTTGAAGGAGAAGTTTATTGTAGTTTATTTCATGTAATTTTTCTTATTTATATTAAGTGCACTTATTTCTGCTAGGTATTTGGTGGAAGCAATGGCCTCTGAGTTTCAATAGCCTTGTTTGACAGACTGAGGTATGCCCTGTACCTGGCTTTTTATGTTGATGCTGGGAATCAAACAGATCCTTTATGTTTGTGTGGGAAGCACTTCACCAATTGAGCCATCTCCTAACACCAAATAATTGTTTTAAATTTATCTCAAGTAATAAAAGATAAGCCTGAACGTGTGTAAAGCCTGAGCAAATATGACAAAAAATAATTAGCTAGAAATGAATAGAATTAAAACTATATATTTGAATGATTGGCTTCAGAGATTAGACATAGCTGAAGACATGATTAGTGAACTGGAGGATAGAACCAAAAACTACCCAAACTCAGCTCATAGATATAAGAAAGTGACAGATGGAAGCGGGAGAAAAATATGACATATCTGTCTGCAAGGAAGGAGGCTGGCGGCTTCATGAGGAGGCGGAGACTGTAACACATCCTTTGAAAGACTGAAGAATTCCCAGATGAACAGAAAGGGTCCCCTGGAGTAATCTGATGTTAGATAATAGCAAGTTGGAGCTCAGTGGCTATCACCTGTTTAACATGTACAAGGCTTTGAATTTAATCTTTGCATGATGACAGAAATAAGTAGCAATACATGAATAAGATAAAGTTCCCCTTCTCTTCAGTTATTGCATAAATATGTTATACTAAGTTAAAAAGCAGACTCCATGTGATTATGATATAAACTATGATGCTTTTAAATTTGTGTCAAGGGGACAGAAGGGAAATTCTATACCTTATAAGGAAATCTCTATTTAAGCTTTCATGAACTACAAGCATCTAAAGCAGTGATTCTCAACCTTCCTAGTGCTGCGACCCTTTACTATAGTTCTTCATGTTGTGGTGACCCCAACCATAAAATTGTTTTTATTGCTACTATATTATAACTATAATTTTGCTACTGTTATAAATCATACTATAAATATCTGATATGTGAAAGGGTTGGTTGACTTCCAAAGGGGTGTGACCACAGGTTGAGAATCACTGTTCTAAAACCTATGAGCCTTCAGCTAATCATCTTTAGCAAGTTCAGTCTCTGCCAGACAGCTGGCAGAAGTTCTTGTGCTGTAACTGAGTTACTTCATTTGTTTTCTGGATGTTCAACTCTAGTGTTATTCCAGGCAAATTTCTTCTTAAATTCCTTTACCATAGGGCTAGGAATATAACTCAGTGCATATGCATGTAAACATGTTCCCTCCCTCCCTCCCTCCCCCTTCTCATACACACACACACACACACACACACACACACATACACACACACACGCATTTTGTCTAGCAACCAAAGGACCCTAGATTTCAATTTCAAGTATGTCTTAAAAACCAAACAAATAAAAACATCATCTGTGTGAGGAAGATGGCTCAGTTAGTAAAGAGCTTGCTATGCATGCAAGAGGGTCTTACTTAAAATCTCTAGCGTCCTCAGTGAGTTTTCTATGAAATTGTGTCTCCTAGTAATATCAGAAGCTACGCCCATAAAGTCTCACCGTGACTGTTCCAATATTAGCTGAACAGGGATGACATCAATGAGCATGCCTAACTGGATGGAGAAAATCCTCGAAGCCTCAACCCTACAAAGAACTGTAGGCAACTGAGGAGACCTGGGAGTGGAAGAGGTGGTCTTCTCCAGGGAAGATCAAACCAATTGGCTCTCCAGTGCCAAATAATCAGCCTTGAAAACATATGTACCAGTAACATTATTTGGACTGAACAGGTTATATTTAGAAATTTAGAAATTCTATAAATACACACACATACATATATACAAACAAACAATTAGTGGAAAAAGAGGCCATGAATTTGAAGGAGAGCAAGGAAGGTTATGTGGGAGAATTTAGTGGGAGGAAAGGGAATGGAGAAATGCTGTAATTTATAATTTAAAAATCCCCCCCCCAAAAAAAAACGCTTTTAACCGGGCAGTGGTGGCACATGCCTTTAATCCTAGCACTCAGCAGGCAAAGGCAGGCAGATCTCTGTGAGTTCAAGGCCAGCTCCATCTACAAAGTGAGTTTTAAGACGTTTAGGACTACATAGAGAACCCCTGTCTCAAACAAACAAACAAACAAAAGCATCATGGTGTATACTGTCTTCCCAAGACAGAGGCAGTGGGACTTTCAGGCTATCTAGTCTTCAAATTAGTGAGGTTCGGGTTTGGTAAATATCTTAGTTACTTTTATTTTGTTGCTGTGAAGAGACACCATGACCAAAGCAACTTATAAAGTAAAGAATTTACTGGGGCTCATGGTTCTGGAGGGTGAGAGTCCATGGTCATAATGGTGGAGAGAGCATGGCAGCAGGTGGGAAGACCTGGCACTGGAGCAGTAGCTGAGAGCTTACTTACATCCTGAACTACAGGTATGTGTTGTAGGAGGTGACTTGTTCGTTTGGCAGCTCAGAACATGAAATAATTACACAGAAACTATGTTATTTAAATCACTGCTTGGCCTATTAGCTTATGCATATTTCTAGCTCACTCTTATCTCTTAAATTAACCCATTTCTATTAATTTATATTTACCATGATGTTTGTGGCCTACCAGTGAGGTTCTGACTACTCTGTCCCCTTCAGCGGCAACATGGCATCACACTGACTCCGCCTTTGTCCCAGCATTCAGTTTAGTTTTCCCCGCCTACCTCTGTTCTGCCATAAACAGCTTCTTTATTAACCAGTGATATTCACAGCATACAGAGGGGAATCCTACATCAAGTATGAGGCAGAGAGAGAGAAAGCTAGTGGAATGGTGTGAACTTCTGAAACATTAAACCTCACCCCCAGTGACACACCTTCTCCAACAGGCCAAATCTCCTAATCCTTACCAAGCAGTCCCACCAACTGGGGTCTAAGTATTCTAATATATGAGCCTCTGGTGGTTATTCTCATTCAAACCACATATGGTCTCCATACATGTGTAGAAACACATACACACACACACATACCGAAAAAAATTCTTGTTTGCTTTGGTTCTATTCATCAGTGATCCCTTGGACAGTGGTAAGGGTCCTCCTTCATTTTTCTGTAAATTTTCCTGTAGATATAACTCAGTGCTAATAGGAAGCTATTACTTCTACCAACAATGAGTTCAAGAGTGTAGGATATGGATAGTGCACATGCAACACAATTTCTTTTCCTCTGTAGAATAGTCTGTGGAAGGTACTGCAAGAAAAGACAGGCAGAAATTGGGATAGAGTATTAGGAAGTGTTATGGTTTAGTAAAACGCTGCAGATCCCTGAGGGGTGCAGTGGCAGAAACGCTGCAGGTTCCCGGGTGGTGGCAGTGGGCAGCCAGTCCCAGGCAGGGAGCAAGTCCCAGGCAGGGAGCCACGTGGTGGGTGAGAGACTAAGACGGTAGGCTCGCCATGCAGAGGATGTGGGTATTATTTAGTGGGTTATGGAGGGGTAAGGGAAAAGCGGAGAAGGAGAGATGGGGGAAGAGCAGAGAGAGACACTGAGAGAAAGTGGGGGAGAGAAAAGGAGAGATCTCCTACCTGCCTTGGGGGGAGTGGGCGGGGCTTGTCTCTTAAAGAGACAGGACAGACCATTAGAGGAAGAACGGGGCTTGAGGGGCCTACTGAGTCCTCAGCAATGGCTTAATGCCTGGGAAATAAAGTTTATTACAATAAGGGGGACTTGATTGGGGGGGGGGAATGGGAGGCGGTGGCGGGGAGGAGGCAAAAATCTTTAATAAATAAATTAATTAATGACAAAACAAAAAAAAGACAATGCATTTCTTGTAGTTTTTCTTATTTCAGGTACACTTGCTTATATTGGGTGTGTGCGTAGAGAGAAGTGCAGTTTGCATGAGTCTGTCTACCGATGGTTATGGAAGGGGTGGTGGGCTAGGACTCTTCAGTGGGTGTAAGCTAGCTGCTTAGTGGAGTAAAGGGCAGTCAGAGCATCCCTCCTAGATTACACACTGACACAGCGTGATGTAGCTGCCGTGAAGAAGCTTTGAGATGCTTACCTGTTTAGGGGCCGTTGTCTATATCCTTGACTTTGGGATAAGCAACTGTCAAGGTAGATTAGAATTCCTGGGGTAGGCAACCACTGAACTGATAGAACCCATGGGCAGGAAACCCTAGGCATTCCTGCCCCAAATTCATAGTCTAACTTTACTCCTGAGAAAAACTTCAAACACAAATTAGGAGACAGAACTATAATAAAATACCTAACCTGCAGGGCCAGGCATCATGGTGCATGGCTTTAATCCTAGCACGTGGAGACAGAAACAGGTGAATCACTGTGAGTTCACGGTCAGACTGGCCTTCATAGCAAGTTCTTGGCCAGCCAGAGCTACACAGTGAAACCCTGACTTTAAAATAACCAAAGCAATTAGTATTACTGCAGCTTGATACATTTTCTTGATATTTATGGGAGACCTGCCCTTTCTAAACAGAAATGGAGGAAGAGTAGATTGGGGATGGGAACAGAGAGGGGATGGAGGGAAGAGACGGAGAGGAAGGAGGAAGGAGAGAGGTGAAACTAATGCTGGAATGTAAAATAAATTTATTTTTTAAAAAAAGTATCAGGCAATAGACACATATATCAAAATCCATCAGGGCCTGAAAGGAAAATATAATTAAAGACCACCTCCTTTTCTACTGTGGAAATTCTCTGAAGCATTTGGCAAAATTGTTGCTTTTAAGTTTGCTTTGTGAAGGATTTGGTGTCTCCTAACCCTCAAGTGTTGTTCTCTTACCCATCAGTTTTCTTCACCTTTGGTATATTTACTTGAAGTAAATGCCATGAGTCAGAGGGCAGTGCAGACGTGTGGAGGGACAGCTTTGTCATAAAAGTGAGTGGGTGCTTTAAAAACAAAACTAAACCAGCTGGGCAGTGGTGGCACACTCCTCTAATCCTAGCGTTCTAAAGCAGAGGCAGGCGAATCTCTGTGAGTTCAAGGCCGGTATGGTCTACAAAACAAGTTCCAGGACAGCCAGGGCTGTTACATAGAGAAACCCTGTCCTGAACCCACCAGACAAAAAAACAAAACAAAACAAAAATAAACAAGTTTGGAAAGATGACTTAGTAGTTAAGTTATCTGGGTTCAGTTTCTAGCATCCACATGGCGTCTCGTAACCATCATAATTCCAGTTGCAAGGATCCTAAGCCCTCTTCAAACTTCCTTCGGGCACCAGGCATGCACGGGCACACATTCATACATACAGGTAAAACAGCCATACACATAAAATTGAAAACAAAACAAATAAAAGCCTGACCTGTATGCTTCAGAAATGCAAAGGTAAAGGAAGATAAAGGCAGGTTGGGACGTGGCTTTGTGAAGGGTTCGATGAACCTTGTGGGCATTCTTAGATCAAGACAACACAGGGAGAAAGGCTGTAATTGGGACAGTTGGTGCATGTGGATGCTAATAATGCAATGATTTCCTGATCTGGGGAACTGGGTCATGATTGTGTCAGAGTACCTTGTTCCTAGACAGTCTGTGTCTATGTCCTGTGGGGTCAAGGGTCTTGCTGAGGGGTAGTAGGGAACACCTTTAGTCCCAGCACTTGGGAGGCAGAGGCAGACAGATCTCTGTGAATTTGAGGCCAGCCTGGTCTGCAAAGTAAGTTCCAGGACAGCAAGGGCTACACAGAGAAACCTTGTCTCAAAAAAAGGGGGAAGGGGAGTCAAAGGTCTCACCAGTCCAGAAGACATGCATATACATGTCTGTGTGGATGGCAGTGGTGCAAAAGGGCCAAGTAAAATAGCTGTGATTCTCAATAAAGTATAATGCATTTCCTGGAATACCCTTGCAATTAATCTGTAAGATTGAAATTATATCAAAATAAAAAAATAAATGTCCCATAGATAGCATCATAGTGAAGCAACAGAATTACAGGTTAAATGACTAGAAGGTTGGGGGTGTAGCTCAGTGGTAGAATACTTGCCTAGCATATGAGAGGCCCTGGTTTCGATCCCCAATACAAAACAAGGGCCGGGAGACAGAGACAGAATTCTGAGTTCAAGGTCAATCTGGTCTACATAAAGACTTCCTGGCCAGTCAGGACTGCACAATAAGACGGTATCTCCAGCAAATAAACAAACAAAAGTCTCCCAAATAAAAATGGCTAGAGAGCAGAGGAAGATTGCTCAGGAGAATCCTAAAGGCAGTGTGGTAGAAGCCAGAGGTTATGTAGTGTGAGACTCTTCTCTGTGATAAGAGAAAACGACTGTAAAGTTATTCCTGAAAACAAGGATGAAATAGACATTTTCAGACAAAACTAAATGTCATCAGAATATCTTCTGCAAAGGGTGGTCTGAATGTGTCTCATGCAGAGGAAAAGAAATCCCAGGCAGAAACAGGGTACAAGGAGTGGAGGTTAAGAGACTTGAGGGCAGAGTGCACATGGTAACTGGCAGCACTGATGGAAATGGAATGTTGGGTAGCCAGGCAAGTGGTGCCCAGTGATTGGGGGGCTTTGATAGCCAAGCCATGATATGCTCAGGGCCCAGCACAAGCATGCAGAGAAGAAATAGAGATAGCTATCATCCCCCATGAGGGTAGGAAAGGAAAGGTGTAGCAAATAGAATAGGTTTCTGGAACTGGGTGTCAGACTTAAACAGGATCAGGCCAGGAAGGCAAGGTCAGATGAGGAAAGGTAATTCCAGAGTAAAGGGATGGATGCTGGGTGCTGCAGTAGTCTTACAGTTCTGCCCTGATCAACAATGAGTCCTTTGCTGTTGCTCTAGATTACAAAAGCTGCAGTGGTTCTCAGGGAATTAGTCATGTCACTCCCATACAGATGGCCATTGCAGTTTTGATTGATCACGACAGTTGTGACGATGCTACCTGCAGAGGTCGTCTAAGCTTGAGAAACAGGATTCTGAGGAGAACTGGTTTCTGGAGTCCTGCTTTATTTTCATCCCTTGGTTCCAGCCGTTGCTTGCATAAGAATAGTATATGTTTTATCTTTTCAAGCTTTTTGCCCTAGCAAGCCCCAGAACACTGTTGAGTCAAGAGGGCAGTTTCTCAGGCGGGCGGTGGTGGCGCATGCCTTTAATCCCAGCACTCGGGAGGCAGAGGCAGGCGGATCTCTGGGAGTTCAAGGCCAGCCTGGTCTACAAGAGCTAGTTCCAGGACAGGCACCAAAGCCACAGAGAAACCCTGTCTCGGAAAAAAAAAAAAAAAAAAGAGGGCAGTTTCTCCTGACTTTGAGGTGGATATGTATGAGCAGTCTGCCAGACAGGACCCTGCATCTTACGTTTCTGTGGCTTCTTAGTGGGTCCATCCAGGCAAGGGGCCATTCACATCATAGGCAGACTATATGCTTATGTCTTGATTAATATCGCATTTACTGATGTGATAACAGGTCATATCACTTAAGGAATAATGTATAAGGGACTTGCTGTTCCTGGTGGGAGAGTACACTGCCAGCGTTCTCCGCTGTGGTCTGGCCCCTCATCTGGCTCACAGTACACTTTTGTGGTGGCTGCAGCATGCTAAATATCAGGTAGAGAGCTGGCCTTCACCCTGGCACTGGCCACTGGACATATTCTCATGGCACGCTGTATCAAAGTGTTCTGTACTGAGGCCTGTGCCTGGTAAAGCCATGCTAATCCTTCCTGTGAAGTCCTGGTGCAGGCTGGAGGAGGAAGGGAGAATGGGTTATGCTACAGTTTCACCAGACCTGTGTCAGGCCGAGAAGTCCTGTACTTCTGTGTTTCTTTCTAGTACGATGAGCATGTGATCAGCCCAAAGGAGTTTGTGCACCTGGCAGGGAAATCTACCTTGAAGGATTGGAAGAGAGCCATCCGGATGAACGGCATCATGCTCAGGTGGGCGTCTGACCAGCTTGAGATGATGGGAGGGTTCACAGCCGTTATTTTGCACTTGGTTTTAGATCTTTGGAGATGAATTATTTTGGTTAAGTTTTATTTTAATTTCCACTAATTCTTTACATGGTGGTGGATGTGTATTTTGAATATATTGCTATTAAAAATTAAGGATATAATCTGTTTGTACATAGATATTTAGGTTTAATTTTTTTAAACAGTGCTTTATGGTACCCTTCTGTCTTTTTTATTACTTTTTATGGAAGTTCCTTGTGAAGTGCACAGGTATTAGGATATGCCAGGCTCACATACTTTATGACCTAAGAGCCATACTCGTTTCTGTTTATTTGGAGACTGGAAGGCTCTACTAGGGTGTTCCATCAAGCAGCTACCTCAGTTCCTAAGCACTAGTAAGGTGCACTGTTTGTGTCAGAGTACTCAGCTCTGAATGCTTTGCCATAGCTCTCAGCCATATACCTCTGAGAAACACTCTGTTTTCTCTGATGGGACCAGAGGCTGAGAGAGGTGTGTTGGGATTGGTTAAGGCCACCGAGTGAAGCTGGAGCCTCTGGCCTTATGTTTATGGGTCATGATAGGCTGACTGAAACTGATGGAATTTTGATCCAAGGCCTCAAAGAGGTCAGAGGTAGTACCTAGAAGGGAAGACCCTAGTAAGTGAGAATAAGTGGCTGTAGCCTTAGAATTTGTTTTAAGGTTTGGGAACTCCTTTCCTGTCCTTCCAAAGGCAAGGCTTCCCCTGGAAATGATTCTTAACTCTGCCACAGGACTCAGTCACTGTGACTCATCCTTCACCACCTTTGTTAGCTGTGGGTCTGCCCTAGGTGCACAGTCCCAGTGCTCTCCCCTCTTTCCTGTGCACAGGATGCTGTGTAGGTGGGTAGGTGCCCTAGGTGCACAGTCCCAGTGCTCTCCCCTCTTTCCTGTGCACAGGATGCTGTGTAGGTGGGTAGGTGCCCTAGGTGCACAGTCCCAGTGCTGTCCCCTCTTTCCTGTGGACAGAATGCTGTGTAGGTGGGTAGGTGCCCTAGGTGCACAGTCCCAGTGCTCTCCCCTCTTTCCTGTGGACAGAATGCTGTGTAGGTGGGTAGGTGCCCTAGGTGCACAGTCCCAGTGCTGTCACCTCTTTCCTGTGGACAGAATGCTGTGTAGGTGGCCTGGCGTGGCTCTGCCACCTGTGCTGTATTTGTGTTTGAGCTCCGTGCATAGCGAACACTGCAGCCCATCTCCTACTGCAGAGGAGCCTGGCTCCACTCGGCACCTCTGCTGGAACCTATGCCCTGCGGTTGGACAGTCAAATCACAGTGGTAGATGAGGTATTTTCAGTTAGCTCTCACCTGGACTGCTCTGGCTTCTCCACAGGAAGATCATGGACTCTGGGGAGCTCGACTTCTACCAGCATGACAAGGTCTGCTCTAATACCTGTCGCAGCACAAAGATTGACCTCTCCGGGGCCCGTGTGTCCCTGAGCAGCCCGACATCCACAGAGTACATCCCACTCACACCAGCTGCAGCTGATGGTAGGTACAAGAGGCTGCCAGTCTTGCAGGCCACTGCAGCTGTGGTGACCAGCCCTCTCTGGGTGCCATATATCTTGTCTGTTTTCCAAGAACACTCCTTCCACAGAGGCCCCACAGTGTTGGGTCAGCCCCTCCTTATATCCTTCCTGAAAGCACATCTGGAGACTTGTTGGGTTTGCTAATAGGGAATCGTTTGCTTGTTTTTCAAAACAGGGTTTCTCTGTGCAGCCTTGGCTGTTCTGGAACTTGCTCTATAAACCAGGCTGGCCTTAAACTCATAAGAGCACTGGGATTAATAAAGGGATATACCACCACTGCTTGGCTACTAATGGGAAATCTTAAAGCATCTTCAGTCATTTTTATTTTAAGATAGTGATTCACATATATAGAGTATAAAGAATGGTTAAGATTGACTTGTGTCCCTATGTCTGTTCTCAGTCACTCAAGGCCTGTCTGAAGTGGAGATATATTTTCTTTGGTGCTGTGACTTTTCAGACCTTTTACTGGTCTTTCCTGCCATTTGGATTTAGGGTGATAACTTAAGATATTCTTCTCGGTTGATATCCATCTTTCAGAGCTGTAGAAAGATTGACTCTTTTCTTTGTTTTTCTTTATTCATTCATTTATTTGGTTTTTCAAGACAGAGTTTTTGTGTAGCCCCCACTGCCTGGAACTAGCTCTGTAGACCAGGCTGGCCTTGAACTCACAGAGATCGTCCTGTGTCTGTCTCCCCAGTGCTGGGTTGATGAAGGTGTGCGCCACCATTGTCTGGCAGATTTCTAAAATTCTGTTCAGCTCTGAGTGAGGCATTTTGTAAACTGAGGTGAGAATGAAGTTGGGTCCTGAGCTCCTTATTGTGTTACCTGGTGAGATTGGGTTGTATTGTCTTTCTGCTGTTGTCACTTACTGTCCCTAACTGTCATTCTACAGTGTTAAGCTGGCACGTACTTCCACGTGATCAAGGATGTTTGTCCTTGTTCTTTAATCAGGCCAATTGAAGAGCCTTATCTGGGGCTGGGAGAAGAGAGTGAAGCCTTATGAGTTCTGCCTTATTCTTTTCAATATGCTTCTTTGCAAACTGATTGGTCAAGATTGGTTAGGATTCAGCTCTTCTGACAGTTCTGCATTCTCCTTTTGAGAAACCCAGGGACACCCAGCGTCATAGGGACTTACTTTGTTGGCTCTTTGCTCATTTGCCATGATCCGAGAATGTCTGTTGCTTCGCTATTCTTTCTGGACAGCGCTCTTCTGGGGACATATCAGAATGAAAGGCAGTGTGGGGAGTGAGTGGTCCAGGTCTTGGTGGTTGCCTTATGAAAGTCTGTCACAGCCTAGTAGAGGCTAGTGAGGTGTTTTTTTTAATTGGTATTTATTGAGCTCTACATTTTTCTCTCCTCCCCTCCCTGCCTCTCCCCTCCCCCCGCTAGTGAGGTGTTTTAAGTACACTTAGAGTTGGCTCAACTATGGAGTTTGTAGTGTTTCCAACTGTTGATGTGTTTATCAGTGTGTAGCCCCATCATAACAGGAAGAACACCTATTAGCTTGTTCCTGCAAGCCTTAGTGCGATGGTAACGAGCTAGAATCCAATTTCATGGGATTATTTTGTAGGTCTCATGCAAGACAAATGTATAGAATAACTTTTTTAAAAAAAATTTTTTTTGTTGGCTCCTTTTTATTTTATTTTATTTCGTTTTGTTCTAGGAACAGCAAAGTGTGGCTCCTTAGGTAAAGGCTTTTTTTAAAAATTTATTTATTTATTAAGGATTTCTGCCTCTGATTGCTCTTAAAAAAATTTTTTTTTTAAAGATTCATTTATTTATGTATACAGTATCCTTCCTGCAGGCCAGAAGAGGGCACCATATCTCATTACAGAGCCACCATGTAGTTGCTGGGAATTGAACTCAGGACCTCTGGAAGAGTAGTCGGTGCTCTTAGAATAACTTTTATAATAAATAGCCAATACATAGCAGTTCCTGAAGGAAAAAAAAAAGGACACTGATTTTAGGTGACAGGCCAGGACAAATAGGAAACGTGAGTGCCATCTCCCGACAGAGCAAGTAGGCTCTCTGAGCCTTCTAACCAAGGCTGTGATGCCTGGGAAAGGCAGAACTGGGGTTAAGATTTAGCTCTCCTGGTGATTTGATTTTTTTTTTTTTGATTTTTTTTTTTCTTTAGCTTAGAATTTGTATGAGTCTTTGACTGGCTTGAATATTGTATAGCTAGGGAGAGGTGTTCCTGTTCAGACATACAGGAACATTACAACATTGATGACCCTACTGTGCTGAGGGGAGCTGTTAGTGGAAGAGTCTGGTATACATTCTAAACTTCTGTGGAGCTGGCTCCTCCCATTGGCTGGTCCCTCGGGAGCCGGCCCAGCACTGGAGTTCAGGAACTTAGGGAGGGACTCAGACTTTTACTAAGTTTTGGCATTGTCCCTTTAAGATGCTGTCCTCCTCAACAATTCCATATATTCTTAAGTATATGTCTGCTTCTAAGATAGGAGCATGTATGAAGCCATGGTCAGAAACTCCAGAACTTGTAAGTGCAAACTTTGTGGACAGTTGGGTTTGTAAGTGCCAGAAATGAACTTGGGGATATACTAGAATGGATGATCTTTTTTAATATTAAAAAATTGGAAATATGATGAGTTCTAGGATTATTATGGTATCAGTAAAATTTAGACCAGAGGTAAAGGTGACCAATAAGGGCAGGGAGAAAAACCAGGTAGGCAGAGAGCTCCCCTGCCAGTTTCCCAAGGCTTAGTTGCAGGGGCTTGCACGTAGAACCAGAGGGGTAAACTGTTGGGAGCTGCAGAAGTTGGATGATGGCTCAGAGGCTCTTTTTCTATTCTTTCTTTATGTGTTTAAAGATATCTGTGATTAAAAATAAACTCACTATGAAGCAGAAAAGCCCTTTGATTAGTACTAGTGTATTGTGCTCCTCAGTTCTGTGAAAATGGGTGAGAAAGAAAGATTCAGATGTAACCTTGGGAGGGTCATCAGGACAAAGTTCTGGGGGCTGTGATATAGAGCACTACTCACCCACACCTCTGCCTTACCTGCAGTGAATGGCTCACCCGCTACCATCACCATAGAGACCTGTGAGGACCCTGGTGACTGGACCACAGCCATTGGAGGTATATTCCCTCAGCTTCTCAGTTATACAGGTGGACCTATGGGAGGAACTGTCTACCCATGATCTGATCCTAGCTGGGTTCAGTATCCTACCACTGACCCCCTAGACTTCTGGGCTGTAATATGGAACTCAGTGCTTCACGTGCTGGCCTCTTGAGGTGATACCCTTTACTACTTCCTGTTGGCAGTTACTCCACACATCAGTTTGTCTCCTACCTACCTGACTCTTCTCTTTCCATCATAGATGACACATTTGCATTCTGGCGGGGACTAAAGGATGCAGGCTTACTTGATGAAGTCATACAGGAATTCCAACAGGAGCTGGAGGAAACCATGAAAGGCTTACAGCAGCGAGTACAGGACCCACCCCTGCAGCTCCGAGGTAAGGGGCCTATTCTCCCTCCTGCTACCCCCAGGTCTTGCCATGTAGCTGGGATGGAAGCTGAACCTGAACACAGGACCCTCCTGTGCTGAGTGGGAGAGTCTTTTGGTATTCATTCTAAACTTCTGTGGAGCTGGCTCCTCCCACTGGCTGGTCCCTCAGGAACCAGTCTAGCACTGGAGTTGAGGAACTCTGGGCAGATCCCAGATTTTTACTAAGTGTTGGCATTGTCTCTTTAAGATGCTGTCCTCCTCAACAACATCGTGCAAAACTTTGGCATGCTGGATCTGGTGAAGAAGGTGCTGGCCAGCCACAAGTGCCAGATGGACCGCTCTCGGGAACAGTATGCCCGGGACCTGGCAGGTATGCCCTGCTCCCCAAACTATAGGCTCACCTCTCTAGTCAGAGACACAGCCATGTAGGTGAGCTTTTCTTTTGAAGACCAAGAAGTCAGAAGAACACAGACATCGAACATGGAAAAGTCAGTAATACTCCAGTGGCTGTGGCCAGACCTTGCCAGTACAGAAAGCATAGGTCACTCTTTACTGACCTTTCTGTGATGAGCCAAGTTATTTAATTTAAAGGAATAAGACAGGAAAATGGAAAAAAACCACCTACTCCAGCCAGAGCTGGAATGTCCTATGGTGTTTGTATATTAGTAATAAGTTTTCCCTGGTGTTCTTACTTAAATGTGTGCCCTGCATGTGTGTAAGTGTGTAAATAGGCCTTTTATTTGGATGCTTTGCCCAACAGCAGCTTTCCTGTGGAACTGAATAGAACACTTTGATGCTGAGGGAAGGTCTGGCCTCTAGAACTTCCACTTTGGAGCTGTGGTCTTGGGTCATCCTGAGGGCCATTAAGGATGGTGCCATCCTTTCCTTTGGCAAGCAGCCCTCTATCCTCCAGGTTGCTGCTGGTTTGTGATCTGCTCACTGATTGTACATGTCTGCTCTGTCCCTGTGGTGACGCTGTGTGTCCCCTGCAGCCCTGGAACAGCAGTGTGATGAGCACCGTCGCCGTGCCAAGGAGCTGAAGCACAAGTCCCAGCACCTCAGCAATGTGCTCATGACGCTGACGCCAGTCTCCCTGCCATCCCCTATGAAGCGGCCCCGTCTTGCACGAGCTACATCCGGACCAGCTGCTATGGCTTCCCAGGTGCTTACACAGTCTACACAGATTGCTCTTGGTCCAGGAATGCCTGTGTCCCAGCTGACCAGTATGCCACTTAGCAAAGTGGTATCTACACTGCCCTCCACTGTCCTGGGTAAGGGTTCTCCTCAAGCTGCCCCAGCCAGTTCACCGGCCTCCCCACTGCTTGGGGGCTACACAGTCCTGGCCTCCTCTGGCTCAACCTTCCCCAGCACGGTAGAGATCCATCCGGACACATCCAGCCTCACAGTTCTGAGCACAGCTGCCATGCAGGATGGCAGCACAGTACTCAAGGTGGTCAGTCCACTGCAGCTGCTCACTCTGCCAGGCCTGGGACCCACCTTGCAGAATGTGGCCCAGGCCTCACCTGCAGGCAGCACCATCATGACAGTGCCCACAGCAGCTGCTACTGGACCTGAGGAACACACAGCCACTATTGAGGTGGCTGCTGTAGCGGATGACCATGAGCAGAAGTAGCTGGCAGGGAGGGTAAGATCCTTCCAAGTTGGGCTGGCTGCCTCTCCTCAGGCCACTGCAGGCAGAGGCCACTACAGACACAGGCCACAGGGCTGGCTCAGCACAGGCAGGTCTGATGGGCTGAACCAAAGAGAGGATTGCCGGATGAATCAAGAGAAGAAAAGGGGGCGGAATGATGCCAGCAACCTGGAAAATCAGTCTTCAGCTTCTAAACTTCCTCCCTTTTTTTCGTGGGAAATACTGTTTTCCATCTGTTGCTTATTAATCCTGTTTACACACTGGGCCTTGAGCAGGAACCAGGGGGTCAGTGACCAGGAGGAGGCCTGGGTGCTTCTGGTTCAGCTGCAGAGCCAGCTCCAGAGCCCAGCTGATCACAGGTCCGAGTGCTTGCACCCCAATGGGGCTGAGCCTGCTGGGCCATTATTGACACAGGTCTTGGGCAGCATGCCCGAGTGTGGAAGCCATAGATCCTATGGATTTGGTCTCTTCCCACAGTTCTCTGTAGGTTCAGTATGGCCAGTGTCCATGTTCCTTCACTGTGGGAACATGCTCTGGGGCTTAGTGCAGACCCAAGTCAGGACCCCTTCCTACCCCACAGGCACTCAGGTGGTGAAGGGGTCTCATGGACCTGGTATGTTCTAGACCCCTTTGCACATGGGCTATGTTTTTAAGTGAATTGCTTAGTAGGCTTCTAGGAAAAAAGTAAATTTATAGTGTTTTCAACCAAAACAATGCTGAGTGCCTAGGCTCCCGAGTCAGTTCTGGGAGGGACCCAGAGCACCTGTCCACACACCTAGCCGCTGCTAGAGGTCTTAGGTAGTGTCTGTCCCCGAGACAAAGCTCTGGAGGATCTGTATGGAGGTATGCCCGAGACTTGGGGTAGTTCAGATAACTCCCTATGTGCAGCCTGCACTTATAGCCCCCTATAGTAGCGCCCCTAAATTTTCCCTGGAGGTAGAGCAGGAGCTCTCTGGTCAATACTCAGTGTCTCTATCCTAAGAGCCCCTGTGTGTGTGAGAAGGCTGTTTAGAATTGGAGGGTCGGTCAGCTGGGAGATAGGATCCAGAATGTTCCATGGAAGGCTGTCTGCAGGCAGTTTTTACAGGTCTGGTTGGTTCCATGCAAAGGGCTATCCTTTAGGCCAGAGTCCTTGGAGCCAAACAATTCAGGGAACAGAGTTTTGGCCTCTTGGTAAGGTATGTCCTGGGATAGTCCTAAGGTGCCTCTTGAACCTCCTGTTCCATCAACTGAAGGCTTTCCTTTCAAAGACCCCACAGCAGGGAGGGACCACTGTCCAACCATCCATCCCTCTTGAGTGCCCAGATCCTTTTACACCTTTGCTATGACTGGGGCCTTGCCTGCCCCTGCTCTCACCCCATGTCAAGCTACTGAGGTTCTAGCTCTTGTTTTCCTTCTGTTACATCATTGTTCACTGTGGTCATGAATCGGCTGGTTTTGGCAGATGTTTACCTGTTTATGTATATATCCCTTTTTAAAAACTTTTTTTTCCTCGAGTTACAAGTCCTGTTAAATGCAGCAGTGTGATTCTAGGAGTATTGGAAGGACTAGTAGGATGGGTACTGTCCAGAAGTCCCTGCTCTACAAGCTCAGACTAGATTAGTGTCACAAATAAAACCTTCCTGCCCTGGGAACCAAGAGCCTTTCCTTGGCACAAGTCCCAGGTGCCACCTTCTTTTTAGGATGTGGGCCAGTTTTCTTTCTTCGTAAGAGCAAGGTCGAAACCTTTTCAGCCCTTGACCTTTGGCACGTGGAGGTACTGGAAGGTGAAATTCGTTTTAGAGCCATACAAAAGTAACCTCAAATCAGCTTCAGAATTAGTTCACACAACCCATTCCCAGTGTCCCCAGAGGCTGTCCATAGCCCACCCTCCAAGACTGTTCCCGGCAGGCCAGGGAGGGTTCTGCAGGGCAGAGAAGGGCCAGTAGTCCCATCGGCATGGAGCTTACAGTTCTGGGGGAGGAAGTGACCATTGCCCACCACCTGTTTGCTCCTGCCTCTTGTGGTTCCTACTGACTCCTCTGTTGCTACGTTCCCCGCCCATTGGGCTATCCAGGATCCAGGAAGGAAGGTCTTCCCCTCCACATGCAAACATGGGTGCTTGTGGCCGCTTTCAGTTTGGTTTTCTGAGGAAATAGGAAGGATTTGGTTTGCAGAGGGTGCAGCTCCTTCCTATGCCTGCCCAGGAGGCATGCAGGGAAGGGCAAGTTTGAGTTCCTTGAGTTCTACTTTGTATGTTGTTAAGCAAGTATCTGCTTGGTACTTTGATTTAAAATAAAAACACTTTTGTAATTTGTGTGTTTGTCTCTTGCGATGAAAGCTATGGAAGAAACCAAATTTAACTTTAAAAACATGCCCCTTGTGACAGTGCTGGCTTTTTTCAGGTTCTTTAGGCACATCTGCCCACCGAGTCCAACTGTGATTGGGGTCGAGGGCCAAGGAATCTTCCTAGAGTCCTGAAGTCAAACAGTTTTTTGTTTGTTATTATTTTCGATTTTGTTGGTGGTAGTTTTTTGTTTTGTTTTGTTTGTCTGTTTAAAGAGGGTCTCTCTAGGGCTGGAGAGATGGCTCAGAGGTTAAGAGCACGGGCTACTCTTCCAGAGGTCCTGAGTTCAACTCCCAGCAACCATATGGTGGCTCACAACCATCTGTAATTCAATCAGGATCCCTCTTCTAGCATGCAGACCGAATACTGTATACATAATAAATAAACAAATAAATAAATATTTAAAAAAAAAAAAGAGGGTCTCTCTACATAGCCCTGGCTGTTCTGGAACTATGTAGACCAGGCTGACTTGAAACTCACAGGGATTCCACTTGCCTTGGATGGGATTAAAGATATGCACCACCACACTCTGCTCAAACACTTTTAATAATTACACCAGGTACCATTTGGCTTCCTTGTTCAGCTCAATGTACAGGTATACGTAGTGTAGGTGCTAGGCATCTCTCTGTGTGCCCTTCTGTTACTGCATCAGACCTTGCAGACTTGGCTCAGAAGCAACAGAGATCCATTACTTATAAGTCAAGGCAGGTATGTAGGAACATGGAACAGGGTGAGGATAAAGCTGGAGTAACTCTTCTTCACCTTGACCCAAAGCTGGATTTCCAAGCACCTTCTCTGGAGGGTAGGGGAGGCACCTTTGTAGTCAAACTAGCCACGTTCTTCCCTTGCCTAGCTTTCTCAAGATCTTTCTTCAGACTGCTACCCTCTTTGGTACTGTGGTCCCTAGGAGGCCACAGGTATGCTCTCCAGCATCCCACAGAGCAGAGAGGCAGGTACCATGTCCTGTCACTTAGTGAGAGTTGGGCAAAGCACAGACTCAGTGCTTTCCTGTGAGCATACACCACTGCAATAGAACCAATAGATGGGTCATGGTCCCTGTCTGTCACTGCAGTGCAGACCTGTTTCCAGACCACCTACAATCTCCCAGAAAATCTGCAGGCACCTCTGACTTAAAGGGTCCAAGACAGAATCTTATTTTCTCCCCAAGCCTGTTCTTTGTCTCTGAGAAGGACGTCAGCAGCCACATGTTGACTAGGCCACCTTTCTGCAATCTCACCTCAGCCCCTCCTCAATAAGCCATACCCTTCCACCTCTCAGGCCAAGAGCTATTCTCTATAGTCACTCTGCTCCCGACATTACCAAAGAATGCATCTCTGCCCCCGGGTAAGGGAAGCGTGTGTACCTTCATCAGCCTTTTTGATATCTATTCCTGTTGTTTGTGACAGTCACAGGCTGCAGGACATAAAACACTAGCTCAGAAGGGTTAACCTCTTATACCCTCACTGAGAAGTCCCTGGACTTCTAGCACTGGCTACTCAATGGGTAGGGATGTGACGGGGGCAAATGGGAGCAGAGGAACAGTCTTCCTCCTCGGCTTGCAGTGTTCTACAGCACAGGTCTACAGAGGATGAGGCTGAGTGACATCTCACATCTGGCAGACTACAGTATGCCTATTTGCCTACTGAAGGAGGGTGATTTTTTTTCAATTCTCTTGAGTAAATAACCATTGCTAGATCATCAGGAAATACTTTTTTAGTTTTGTGAGAAATTGCCAGTGTCTTCTAGTTCAGCTGTATCATTTTGCATTTTTACCAGCAATGAGTGCTCCTGTTAACCTACATTCTCACTCCGTATAGTATACTTAGCATTTTGGATTTTGGCATTGTGATAAGTGTACGGTAGTATCTCACTGTTGTATGTTTTGTTTTGTTTGAGATGTCATCACTGTGTAGCCCAAGATAGCTTCAAATTTATAATCCTCCTGCCTCTCTCTTCTGTGGGATTACAGATATGTGCCACCACATTCAACTTTCCTCTTAACAAATCATTATATTACTATGTATATGATGTATGTGGGGCTGCATGTGCTATGTGCATGGGGAGGTCAGAAGACAACTTTGTGGAGTTCTCTCCACCTTTGTATGGATTTTTGTAACTGTAGTTCCCTAATAACCACTCCGGGCTTAATATTAATTACAAACTGTTTAGCCTATTAGCTCAGGCTTATTATTAACTAGCTCTTACAAGTTAGATTAACCCATTTCTATTAGTTTATGTTTTACCACAAGGCTCGTAGCTTGTTAGCTTACATCTTGCTTCTCTGGTGGCAAGTCTCCCCTGACTTGGCTTTCTTTATCTCTGTATTCAGTTTGGCTTTCTCGCCTAGCTATATTCTGCCCTGCCATAGGCCAAAGCAGCTTCTTTATTAACTAATGGTAATAAAACATATTCTCAGCATACAGAGGGGCATCCCGCATCAGATTCCAGAAGTAGAACTCAGATTGCCAGACTTGTACAGCAAGTGCTTTTACAGACTGAGCCATCTCATTGCCCTTCCCTGTTGTTTTTCAATTTGTAGTTGCATAATGGCGTATGATACAGAGAACCTTTTTGAAAGATTTGTATCTGCGTTTTACCTACATGTTTGTATGTGCAGCACGTCCCTGCCTGGTATCTGCGGTTCCAGAAGAAGACATCAGATCCCTTGAACTGGAGCTAAACAATGACTGTGAAGCCGGGCAGTGGTGGTGCACACTTTTAACCCCAGCACTCAGAAGGCCGAGGCATCTAGAACAGCCCAGGCTACACAGGGAACCCTGTCTCAAAAAACAAAGATACTTGTGAGTTGCCATGTGGGTGCTGTGAACTAAACTCAGGTCCTTTGCAAAATCAGGAAGTCCTTAAAAGACCTTTTTATGTGTTCTACATCCTCTTCAGAAAAGTATCAGGTCTTATGCCTATTTTTTTTTTAATATTTATTTATTTATTATGTATACAATATTCTGTCTGTGTGTATGTCTGTAGGCCAGAAGAGGGCACCAGACCTCATTACAGATGGTTGTGAGCCACCATGTGGTTGCTGGGAATTGAACTCAGGACCTTTGGAAGAGCAGGCAATGCTCTTAACCTCTGAGCCATCTCTCCAGCCCTCTTATGCCTATTTTTAAAAAGATTTAGTTATTTTTTATTTATGAGCTATACCACTAACATGTCAGGTGCTCACAGAATTACAGACAGTTGTTACTTGCCATGAATGTCCTGGAAACTGGACCTGGAGCTTTTGGAAGGGCAGCCAGTGCTGTTACCCACTGTGTCATCTCTCCAACTCTTCTTCTGCCCATTTTAACTAGGTCCAGTTTTTAAAATTATGACTTCTGTTCTTTTTTTTTTTTGGCAGTGCAAGGGAATCAAACCCAGTGTCTTTCACATGCTGAGATTGATGGTAGGGGCAGACATTAACCTTTTATTGAACTTTTCATCAGATTTTTAAAAAAAATCTCTCATAGATTATAGTATATCTTCTCATTCTCTTGACAATATTTTTCACATAGTGTTTTTTTTCTTTTTTTACTTTTGCCAAGCATGGTGGCACACACCTTTAATCCTAGCACTTGGAAGGCAGAAGCAGATGGATCTCTGTATGTTCCAGGCCAGTGCTACACAGTGAGATACTCTCTCAAACCAAACAACCAACCAAAACTGCACTTATACTTTGGAGTTTGAAGATTTAAAAACCTTGTAGTTGAAAGTATAGCTCATTGGTAGAGGACTTGTCTAGTATGCACAAGTTCCTACTTAGGTCCCCAGCACTGGAGGGAAATAAAAGTGGGGGGGGGGGAGATCTGCTTACAGTACAGCAAACACACATATTTTTACTGTATTTTTCTAAGTCAGTGGCTATTGGTGCCTTAGTTACTTTGCTGTTGCTGTGACAAAATACCATAGCTAAGGCAACTTACAAAAGAAAACATTTAGGGCTGGAGAGATGGCTCAGAGGTTAAGAGCACTGGTTGCTCTTCCAGAGGTCTTGAGTTCAATTCCCAGTAACCACATGGTGGCTCACAACCATCCATAATGAGATCTGGTGCCCTCTTCTGGCCCACAAGCAAACATCCAGACAGAATGCTGTATGCATAATAAATAAATAAATCTTTAAAAAAAAATTTAATTTGGGACCTCATGGTTGCCGGGGGCTAGAGACCATGGTCATCATGGTGGAGAATATGACAGCAGACAGCAGACAGCAGCCATGGTCCTGGAGCAGTAGCTGAGAATGTACATTGTAGAGAGAGCTTATGAGGAATGGCATGGGCTTTTGAACCTCAGAGCTCATCCCTAGTGACACATTTCCAGTGAGGCCATGTTTCCCCATCCTACTCAGATGTATAAGCCTGTGGGAGCGGTCCTCACTCGGACCACCACAGTGATTTATTTTCCTTGTAATTTTTCTCAGTGGTTTTTTACTTGGTAGAACTGTTTAGGACGGAGTAGGAGATGTAGCTTCACTGGAGGAATGTGTCACTGGAGGGTGGGCTTTGAGATTTCGAAAGATTCCCAGTGCCCTCTCTGCCTTGTGATCACGATATCTCTCAGCTGTTTCTTCACACCACCATCATGGACTCTGACCCTACGAAACTCTACGATAAATTGAACTCTTTTATAAGTTGTTTTGGTCATGGTGCTTTATCAGAGCAATAGCCACGGGAAAGTGATTAAAGCATAGTATTAGCATATATATATATATATATGTCGATTTATAACATTCTAAAGTCGTATGGATGCTTTAATAATTTTGTATATGCTTTTCTTCCCCTTAGTCCAATTCCAGATTTCAGTCACACCAGTTCTTGGGCCTTCTTGACCTCTTCAGTCTGGCCTGGCCCTGGGTACTTCCCTGAAGTGAGCATCTCTCAGGAGTTTGTATGGGGATCATTGTGATGAAATTGTGCTCAGTCTTTATCATGAAGCAGGGGGTTGTGACCTCTGTCTGCCTCTAGTGATACACACACTCTGACTGCCCTGGCTAAGCAGTCACTGTAGCGGTTTCTGAGGACCTTCCCCTGAAGTCATCACAGGAATGGAAAACAAGGAGGCCATGGAGGGCTTACATCAGGGAGGAGTGGGATCCCTGATCTGTGCCAGCATTTGCTGTATT